CCACTGCTGGCTACCGAATTGCCACTCACCGCATATACTTACAGTTTTTATCGTCTGACTCTTACGACCCGCACGCAAAATCCTAAAGAAAACCGTACTTAAGGTTCTCGTGTGTAGGGTCTGACGAGTTGACGTGAGTCAGTTTAGAAAAAAACAGACCAGTCCCGTAATCGCACGGTTCTTTGGCTTCCCCATGCGTGAATTGAAATACTGAATGAAAACTTAAAATAGAATAATACAAAAGTCACGCTTTTGAATGAATTCTAAGTTCTTTTGTCCGCACGCGATAGATGGCAAATAATTTTATGTTGTTGTTTTGCGTGCTTGGCCCCTATGTCGTGACGTCGACCTGCAACCAAGTACTTTCCCTTCCGATCTTTTCGCTTGTTAGTATGTATTTATTCTCAGTTTTCAAGATGCAGTTGCCGAAGTGAAGTGAAAGAAAAACGTTTTACTGAGAAATTAAAGATACATTTTGTTACAATTCTTCCGATCATTACAATCTGTGAACAAGAGATTCCTACCATTTTAAGAAGTTGACTTCCTCGTTATGTACAAGTCTTTCTTGCCATCCTTTCACCTTTCCTTTTGTAGGCAATGTAATATTTCCTTGATCCACGCTTCTTTTTGATTGAAAGATCGCGTAGTACCTCTAAAGTCAAAAATTGTTAACACACTTTAAAGATGCACTAATAAAATAAACGTGACTCATGATGCAGATAAAAGATAGGTTTACCGAGAGTTCCTTGTTGTATATACACCCGTCATTAAGAATTTCTTCCGAGTACCATTTCCTGTTCGCATAGGGCAGGTTGTATTGGTAAGTCGAGCAAGGTGGAGTAGACAACCGCCTTATATTTCCAAAGCTTAAAGCGTAATTTCCCGACGTTTGCTCCAATGAAGAGGGAATGCTGATACCTTTAATTGAAATATCTTTTTTCCATGGAGGCAGAGTATCTCTATTACAAAGAAATATCACAAAAGGGGAAATAAAAGATTGTTTGAGTATCACAACAATATTTTACAGCTGATTCTTATACCTAGTAGCACGGGCCTGAGGGCAATTAAGGATTAACTTCACGCGTATTTTCAAAGTTTTCCCAAAAGTGCACTCCTGATTAAGAAAAAAAGCCCTCTGTCTCGGCCAATCAGCATTCAGTAATTTTGCTCCGCTTATGATAAAGTCCAACAGAAATTATATTAGGAAAAGAAACTCCCTTCGATAGCTTGGGCTGGGTTTAGCTTAAATATTCCCTCAATATTTTCGTCACAGCAAAGTTCTTCCAACGCTGTGTTGTCTGTCGTTTCCAAGATTTTCCATTCAACATCACTGGTTACATTATATTGCAAATGAGGGGACAGAAAACAATGATGTTCCAAGCATTCTATGCCTTCCGAGTATTCACCAAGGAGAGAGTTTGGCAAGATGTAAGCAGTTGGTCCTTCGGAACTGTTAAGGGGGAAGGAGGGCAGAAAATGACACGGGTTCTAAGTGGGGTATTCTGGAATTTAAATAGAGGGTGGGAAGGGCGCAAAATTTGTAGTCGATAAACCCATTTCATTTGTGCACTGTGTTACGAATCCAAAAAAGATCACACTAAAAAAACAAACTACCTTTCACTTGCTTGGCCATCGTTAAGTTTAAATGGTTTCTCAGCAGTATAGTTACAAAGGAGATCTTTCAACGTTGTGTTATTTGTGATACTAGAGCTTTCCCATGTAGCACCGCTGCTTTTATTATATTGACAATCAATTTTCAGAGGAGAGTGATGCTCCAAGCGTTGTATGTCTTCTGCGCACACATGCTTTAATGACGAGGTCATGTTGTTGACGTCAATTAAAACGTTCCTATCCCATGGAATCGGAGTATCTTCATCACTGACAAAATTTTTACACAGGAGGAAATCAACGATTATTTAAGAATTACGAGAGTTATTTTCAGCTTTGAGGGACGTAGAAGTTTAATCCGTGGCTTTTGTCTGTTTTAAAGTTCTGAAAAAGTGCCGTACGCATATTAAGGAGGGGCCAGAAAATGACATGGGTTATAAGTGGGGTATCCAGGGATTTCAATAACGTATAAGGGGGCCGCAAAATTTGTACTCGATCAACCCATTTTATTCGCGCACATGTGTTACAAACC